CCAGTAACAATCAGTGATATTGATTTAGTTACATTACTAATAGGAACAACCTATCAATGAACAATAGTCACATAGTCTAATGATTCAGTTCATTAATACCTGTACAGGCACATTGGTACCTTCAGAATCAGTCACTGATATACTCTCCTTTATAATAGGAATATGAACCATACCAGTATATGGATGACCCAATGAATTATACACTACCATACTGAACTATATGGAAACAGTAAAAAATTAACTTCTTTGTCACTTACATCTCCTCCCTCAGTTACTGGACACACACTGATGTTAAGATATTCACAGAAGCTCAAGTTCATTTTAGGTGCATTAGCTCCTTTAGCTGCAAGATCATTGAGGACAGTTGCCATTACAGAACGACACTCAACTTCTCCAATGTGAAGCCTCTTAGCATAATCATCAGCAACATGCTGCTTCTCTGTACCACTACAAATCAATAAAGCACCCACTAACTCAATGTTGGTACTATACTTACGAAACAGCATCATGATGCTGAGCTACTCCCATTGCATGTTCTGTAACAAAATTAAAAATATCATTAACAATGTAGTGCTACTGCTAACGTAGTTTGATTGAAGATGGTCCTTGATCTCCTAGTCCATTATGAATAGCTTCCAATTGCTTACATGCCTGCAAGTGAGCATTACACATTCTTTCGTAACGCTTGATAGAAGGCCTACTAGTAAAATAGCCTAATGTAGTACAAATAATAGGTTTATTTCTTAATTATTTAGTTATACCAGTCCAGAAACTATATGGATTATTAGCATAAGGAAAGAAATCATCACTTTTTGTGGACCAGGTCACATCCTTGTTGTCGTTGACATATTTAACATATATTGATGGAGTTGAATACATTACGTTGACTGAACCATTCTGTAAAGTGAAAGGTATCAAAGAATTACATGTACTTGGTTTTTTTAAACTTACCATATTAACATATTTTATGAGTTTATCCAAGTTCTTGTACCATTCAGCAGCATTTTCGTATTGAAAATCAGATCCCATTGTTAACAGAATATTATTGGTCTTGTAACTTTTAGCCTGAACCCAAAAATAAAGGATCATCATTATTCCAGATCCATGCACAATGTAGCATTCATTACCTGTGCCAGGGCCATTTTTATAAACTCATTGACCCTATCCTCTACATTATAATCATAGAGACTAACATCGTCCTAAATAGAGACAATTAGAAGCTACTAATTTGCAGCAACTGACCATTATTGGAGGATCAGTACATTTTGTATCAAAGCAGAAACCAGGAGGAGGGACGTAGAGCCTATACAATACTTCAGTAAAGATATCGGCCATACTGCCAATAGAGGAACTGCTTTTCCATATTGTCTGCATTTCAGAAGTGTTCATGCGGTTTGCTAGGTCATCATAATCAATTCGACCAAACATCATACTGTCAAATCCAAACTATAGTGATCATGTTTATTATTGTCAAATTCTTTAGAGCAATATAAAAAATTTTGAAAATAACTTACCAATGAGAAAGCAGTTGCTTGAAATGATGAGTGGCCAAAAGGATCGACCTGCCAGCCAACCGATGGACGCACACCAAAGGTATTAGACAGGAACCTCAGTCCTAAAGACATCTGATCAATGATCCCATTGTAATGAGTGGAGGCTTCATCGTTCATGCACCATCCGCCATTAATAAACTCTAACTGACCATTATTCACAAATTCCCGAACCTTCAGTGAAGAAGAGGATACAATAAAACATGAAGCAAACACTTCATTGCACCTTTAGTTTGATGTCATCTGGTTGCTCATTCCACCAGCGAGCAAAAAATGCTATTTCCACGTAAATAAATTTCCTGTCTTTATTTTTACCCAGCTCATCGACAACAGTGTCTAGTATGTACTTGACTGCTGCATGTTGGATGCTGTTATTAGCTATTTTATAATAACAATGGATAGATCTATGTGTTATTAATGCCAATACTTGCCTCCATAGTAATATTCATCCACAGTCTTCAACCAGCCAACATCATCATGCGTATGAGGAACAATATGAACGTTTAGAGTCTCACTTTTAGCTCCATCTGCCACAATATCTTTGATATGGAGGCAAGTGAACAGCAACAAGAATAATTGCAAGGTCTGATGTAAAGACATTTTGCCAAGCCAGCTTAATAATGGCTGGACACACCCTTCTGTTAACATTATTCATATTCATTGATTATAAGCGTGGGAGGAAAACTAGAAAAATCAAAGCTGATTGAAATCAACAGTTACATTGAATGTGCGTATTATCATTGGAGAGAGTGAGACAATGAAATCAGGACCAGTCACAGGAGGGAAATTAAAAGGACCAGGAACTAGAAAATGCAAATTATACTACACCTGTCAATCAAAGTGCTGGGGACATACCAGTTTCCTTGTCTGTTGTCTGCCATTGGAGTTTCTTTATATCAGATAAAGCTACATTGCCCCCCAATGCTAACTCAGTTACATCTTTGATTGTAAACCCAACAAATAAATCCTAAAACATTATCAACTCTATCTAATAGATCATGATGACTTACTTTAAGTTTAACGTCAACATTATTTGACCATTTCTCAGGATCAGTTGATTCAAACTGATGATCCAAACGAAGGAGAATTGTTGACTGATCCAAATGTTCAAGAGTTAATAAGTGAACATTATCAGGAAGAGGGGCAGACAGTCCACTATACTAAAATTAACACAAATAATGTCTGTGTGTGTCTGCAGTACATTGCCTTAATACCTTAAGGTTATAGTCACTAAGCTGTAGTCCATCATTTGAAGTGAAGGACAGTTCTGGTATCATCATTAACTCTTCTGCCATCATTCTCTGAGCATATGCTGAACTATCCACAGTATCAAGCATTAATAGATGCTTTCCACGAATAATCAAACCATCTCCACTCACTCCAGTCTCATTCAGTGGCTCCCCAACACCTCGTTTATCATCATGCAATAGGCGCCTGTGAACCTAAAACATTATTAAGCTATGAAGAATTTTTTTAAAAGAGCCTAAGTTACCATTAGTTCTATAGATCCATCAGTTATACTAGCTCCTCCTTGTGATCTGTCATTAAGTATAGTAAACTGAACATTCTTCTCTTCA